AAATTTCATACAATATCTTCAAGTTGCAAATTTTATATACATGATTTCTTCAAGATATTTATAGTCAAATCATATATATTTTTATTTAATAGTTAAATTAAATATTCTTTTATTCAATCCACTGCAGATATATTGGTAAAATGTTGATTTTATAGGTTTGATTTTTCTTTGTTTAATAAATTTCTATTTTTATGAGGTAAATTTAATTAAATTTTTCTCATGATGAAAATTGTGTTCAAGTAAGAAAAACTTCTTTCAATTTCCTACAGTGTTTTTTCATATTTATCACATGCTTCTATCTCTGATATTTTTTTTTTTTCACCCATAAATATATATCACATTTTAAAACTATATTTTTTTCATATATATATATTTCTTTTTTATTTTGATATAAAAAAAAAAATGATAAAAATAAACATCTCTTTTCATTTGAGTTTCATTAAATTTTTTCTGATATATAAAAAATTTATATATCATTTAAAAAAAATATATATATTTTTTGGATTGATTTTTATTTTGACCCTGGGTTTCATTTCTTCTTAAACGTCAGACAAACTGATTAATTTTTTTTTTTGTCCTTATGTAAATTTATATATTTTGTTTTCATCATTGATTCACATCATTCTTTCAAATATTTAAATCTAATTCTCCTATTGAGTGCTTTCTAATAAGTTTGGATGCATATAATATATAAATAATAATACATATGTCTGTCACCCCACATAATATATATATATATATATATATATATATATATATATATTTTTAAAAATAATCTGGAGTTCTTTTAGTATTTTTTTTTTTTTTTTTTTTAAAAACAGTGCTCCATAAAAAATTAGAAAAAATTTATTACATCATATCCATTCTGGTTTAGTATTTTTAAATTTTTTTTTCTCAAGTTTCCTATCTGAATAAATTGACGATCAATTTTTCAATATTTTATTTTTTTTTAAATTTTTTTTCTCATATTCACATTTATTTGTGTCACACACACACACATACATATATATATGCCATATTTTTAGGATATCAATATATCATCTCTGTTTTTATTTTCAAAAACCAAACCTTAGTATCAAGTGATTACTAAATCATAACATGTTGTATATTTTAATAAAAAATTATAATAATTTTTATTTTTACAGATGGTACCACCCTCTAACCTGCTTAAATACTTGAGTATTTTCTTTTTTTTTTTTTTTTTTTTCATATATTTTTAGCAAAATTTACATATTTTTTTCAAACTTATAGATTCTTTAAATGAATTGGAATATCTATCTACTGTTTAATAAAAATCTATATTCTTTATGAAATACTATTATTTTACTATTTATTACCAACCAAGTTAACCCATATTTCAATACAACCATAGTAAAAAGATTTTTTATTACCATCATTATAATAAAACAATCAAAATAAATGTGTTTGTCATATTGATATCATTTCAGTTTATTTTTCTCTTTAAAAATTATAATATTTAAAAGTTAAAATCATTGCTTTTAAAAACTTGAAGTAATTAAGTTTCTGCGTATATTTTTCCTAAAAAACTTTAATCTTCTTTATATGCTGCCTTATTCTAGTCTTTCTTTATTCTTTTTTTTTAAAATCCTGCCTTTACCATTCCTGAAGATAATCTTTTTAATAAATTTCTGCCTATATATATCCTAAAAATATAATTTTACTTTTTTTTGAACTTCATGACATGGTCAGGCAGTTAACTCAAATAGTTTGAAATACTGAATCTCTTTTCAGGAAAATTGTTTATTTTTTTTGGATGGTTTTTTGAACTTTTGAAAGTTTTCTATAGAAATTGTGATAGATTGTAATATTTATTTCTAGAGGGTCAAACATTTTCAGTATAAGTCTGTGTTTTTTCATTATATATTTTTTTTTATTTCTATATTTTACAATCTTGCAAATCCAACATAAGAAAATACCAGGGATTTCAATTAAAAATATTAAAATTTTCATATTTTTAAACTTTTTTTTTTAACTTTCATTCTCTTTCAGTCTTGAAGGTTTAGCTTTAATATACAGGTCATAAGAGTTTTTTTTAAAATTTGTTTGTTTGATCAAAACTGGTAATAATAATAAAATAATTAAAATAATTTTCCATTTTTTCTTTTCAACAATCTTTCAAATTTCTTTTCAACAGATAGCCTTTTTTTTCTAGTTTTTATTTTTTTTTCCTTTTTTTTTCTTTTTTCTTTTTCATTTTTCTTTTTTTTTTTTTTTTTTTTTTTTTTTTTTTTCTTTTTCTTTTTCTTTTTCTTTTTTTTCTTTTTTCTCTTTTTTTTTTTTTTTTCTTTTTTTTTTTTTTCTTTCTTTTTTTTTTTTTTTTTCTTTTCTTTTTCTCTTTCTTTTTTTTCTCTTTTCTTTTTTTTTTTTCTTTTTTTCTTTCTCTCTTTTCTCTTTTTTTTTCTTTTTTTTTCTCTTTTTCTTTCTTTCTTTTTTTTTCTCTCTTTTCTTTTTTTCTCTTTTTTCTTTTTTTTTTCTCTTTTTTTTTTTTTTTTTTTTTTTTTTTTCTCTTTTTTTTTTTTCTTTTTTTTTTTTTTTTCTTCTTTTTCTTTTTTCTTTTTTTTTTTTTTTTTTTTTTTTTTTTTTTTTCTTTTTTTTTTTTTTCTTTCTCTTTTTTTTCTTTTCTTTTTTTTTATCTTTCTCTTTTTTTTTTCTCTTTTTTTTTTTCTTTTTTTTTCTTTTTCTTTTCTCTTTTTTTCCTTTTTTTCTTTTTCTCTTTTTCTTTTTTTTTCTTTTTTTTTTTCTTTTTTCTTTTTTTCTTTTTCTTTTTTTCTCTTTTTTTTTTTTCTTTCTCTTTTTTCTCTTTCTCTTTTTTTTCTTTTTTTTTTTTTCTCTTTCTTTTTTTTCTTTTTCTTTTTTTTTCTTTTTTTTTTTTTTCTTTTCTTTTTTTTCTTTTTTTTTCTCTTTTAAGTAAGTTGGTTTTCATTGACACCACATAAAATCCTGACAAGAGATGTTCCTTTAATGTTTGCAATGTTTTACTGTACTCATCACAAAGTCCTCATTTGTTATTGGATTATTGCAGAAATGCAAATGTAATTTAAGTCACTTGATGCTTCATTCCTTGGTGCTATTTAAAAATGGCATGGCAAAAGTGGATAAATAGGAAAAAAATGGCAATTCGACAGCAGAAAATTATGACTGTTCGATAAGGATGGGTCTAAGCTCCCATCCCTCTAGTTTAAAATAGGGCTAAGTCCCCCCCCCCACCTCAATATTTTAAAATAAAATAAATATTTTTAAAATAGATATTTAGTCTAGTGGGTGGGGGGCTAGCTCCTTCTCCTCCTCTTGTTTTAAATAGGCGCTAAGTTCCCACTCTTAGTATTAAAAACATTTTTTTAAAATTTTCGATGTCGATTTTTAGAAGTTTTGTTTGTGGGGGGGTGCGCTAGGTTCCTACTACTAATTGCAGTAAAAGCACAACTGACATTAGGATTAGATGTGTATATATATTTCATTAACTTCTTCATACTTCAAAAATCGTTTAAAATTCTTTATTGCTTTCAAGCACGTAATGCAAGTATATATATATATATATATATATATATATATATATATAAAATCATATGTGGGACGATTAATTGGAATCGGAAAAATCGCGAAGGTTGGGAATCCCATTCACAGATTTCGTATTGACTCTCAGTCTAATTTAATTATTTTATTGGTAAATTATGGTTTTAAACAAGTAAATATTTTAGAGTTCACTTAGCCTATTCCCTCAGCAAACCTTTTGAATTTATGTTCACACCTATTTGTTAAATGGCGCCTCTCAGAGACTTCACACTTGAGTATTAAAAGATTGAAAAATTTATCAGACAAGATTTTAAATTTTACTGGCACCAGTCTCACCCTGTCGTTGTCTGATAACCTCTGAAATAATTATGGTTTTATTTCTTTGGTTTTTTTTTTTTTTTTTTTTTTTTCAACAAGTGGACCTATAATTGTTTTTTCCCAAAGTTTTTCAGTGTGTTCAGACGTAATCGCCTAAAAAATAAAATCTCGTGGGGAACTTTAGCTGAATATTCTTTTTAATTTGACATACTTCTCATTTTTTTCCATTATGTATTGTATCCAAGATTTTAATAAACTCATTGTGAGATATTCATCTATATTTTTTTCCTTTTGCCATTTTTTTTTTATTCATCCACTTTTGCCATTTTTACCAAAATTCCTCATATATACAAACAAGTTTTAAATTCAACTGATAAAGTCTATTTAATTTTTTTGTTTTTTAATTTCTGAATGAGATTATTCTTGAAATTATGAATAAACTTTCCAAAGTTCATGTTTTTCTCCCTTCCAGTTTTTAGCCCATTTCTTGACAGGCATTCTTACAAGAGTGTCTTTAGATATATTTGACAAAAAATTCAGACTAATTCTATGGCAGCTTGTTTTTATCACTGAGTGCTTGGATTGAGGAATCGGAGTCCAGAATTTGAATTCCAATTGAATCCATTGCATTCACTTACATGCAGGGCTCTACGTTGCGAGTGAAACAGTCGCATTTGCGAGTGATTTTTCCAATTGGCGACTAGAAATAATAAAACGCTTATCTTTTGGCGACTGTATTTTTTTCATCGACAATCATCCAAAGCTCATTACTGAGTGAAAAATGTCTGTTCAACATTTTTTTTTTTTTTTTTTTTTTTTTAAAAAAAACGAGCAAAGTCAAATTATTTAAAGAAACAATAAAAGGTTTAATACAAGGGTCGGTAACCTGCGGGCCGGATTCGGCCCGCGAGCCTGATTACCAATGACTATTTTTAACATGAGAGAAGAGGCTTTCGAATTCGACAAAAGGCCTGCTGCTATCTTCCTCTGATCCACCCAACCGAATTTGAATACTATGACCACAAAAACACGATCAAAACCCAATCACCTCAATTTCAGCGTAAAAAATTTAAAAAATAAATAAACATAAAACAAAAACTTAGTCGATTTGACCGGCCGGCCGGCCGGGCGACAGCTTCAAAGGGACAATGTTGTCTCAGACGGCTTTCTATTTCATTCCTCCAACAGCGACCCCCCATCGCTTACCCCTGCCATCTACCCTATGTAAGTTGCTGGAATCTTTCAATGGGCCATGTTCTTATCATACCCCTCTTCTTCTTAAACAAGAGTCTTTCGTGGAACAATTTTCAATAACAGTTTCAAACCTACACGTCATAATTTCATCCATTTCACTTCGGTTGATTTTTTTTTCACTTTGAAGTATTTTGACGTTCCTTGAGGAAAAAAGAATTTTTATTAGGTGTTTTTTTTTTTTAGATTTTCTTTTGTTTTCTGATTTCTCAATGTTTATTTTCATTATGGTTTTAAATATTTAGGTTTACAGGGGTCTGCATATGTAATTTTCCTTAATTTTTCATTAATGGCCTTCGTCTGGCCGAGTTGCCGACCCCTGGTTTAATAGAACAATATACAAGATATTAATTGGCATTTTAATAACGGCAGCACACATTTTATTCGCACTTTCATGTTTCATTCGTCTTTCTGAGCATGAGCAAAAATTTAAAGAAATATGACAAGAAGTAAACAATACTAAAGCCGATATTGCCTTTCTTCGCAAAATCGAACAAAGTAGAAATGCTGAATGAAAATGAGACTCAAAAGAATTACCCGAATGATAAACAAGGTAATGGATGACACACAAAATGAAAGTAAGCCGCCCATTATACGAGAATTCCGACAAGTTTGGTTGTCAACTTTCGTCTGGCTTCGTTACGATAGAGAAAAAAAACGTGATGTATTGTGATTTTTGTCGTAGGGCTGATTCAACTTTGGTTGGAAAAACTGATTTTGTAGATGGTAGTACTAAATTTAAACGTGAAAACGTCCTTGCCCATAAAAAAAAGTCTTAGACACGGCAAGTGCTGCGAATTTATCATTAATAAAACAAGCAAACAGTCAATTGAAAAGTCTCACATTGCCAAGAAATTTCTCGATGCAGAAATCAAATCAAACGAAAAGGATTTGACGGATTTGAAAGTTAAATTTAACACAGTTTATTGTATAGGGAAGGAAGAAATGGCCTTTACAAAACTCAAACCCCTACTCTTACTTCAATACAAAAATGGGCTACCTGTGACACCTGCATACAGTAACGATGTTAGGTGTGGTGAAATGATGTCTACTATTGCAAGCACGATCAGAGATGAGACATTGGAATTTATCAGTGACTCTCATTATGTGTCAGTTATGATTGATGGTGCCACTGACAGCTCTGTGTCAGAAAATGAAGCAGTTTATGTGAGAACAGTGTTGAATGGCAAAGCAGAAAATAAACTTGTTGAAGTTATTGCCATTGAACATGGCCATGCTAAAGGCATTATCTCTGCTACTAAATCTGCTCTTTCAAAAGTGGGGGGATCAGTGATGATGAAATGTCATTGAGAATTGTTGGGTTTTTGTGTAGATGGGGCAAATGTGAATACAGGACAGAGGAATGGTGTTGTGGCTGCAGGATGCAATATGGAAGTTGTTCAGATGGAATGGAGACACATGAAATTCTTTGTTGCAAATACTTTCAGGGACAAGTCTTATTCTGATCTGTGGCAAATCCTACTGACCAAAGACCCATACAAGACTGACTTCTGCAATGTACTTCATCTTGTGAGAATAATGCTCACTCTTCCAATCAGCTCTGCAGAGTGTGAGAGAGCCTTTTCTGCACAGAAGAGAATAAAGAGCGACATATGGAGCAGCTTGTCTGTACAGAGACTGTCAGACTTAATTTTGCTTTCTTCTGAAGGTCCAGATCTGGCTGAATTCAACCCAGAGAAATCCATTGACAAGTGGATGGCAAACAGCAGGAGAAGGATTTCTGGGGGGGGACAGTGTGACTGGCCAGCTAACATTGTGTCTGTTGATTGAAAGTGTAAGGACAAAGCAGTACTGTTTGAAAACAAAAAGTTTTAGTCACAAGCTATTGATTTGACAATTCAAAGTGAGCAAGTGTTAAAGTGGGACTAGAAATTGGAATAAAAAGGTAAATGCAATTCAATATTGGGCAAATGGAGTTATAAATTTTAAAAGATAAAATTTTAGTTTGAAACAGATAGAAATAAGTTCAATGTCAGTAACACAAAGACACAGTATGTGTTTGCCAGACCATCTGGACATTTCCCTTTCCAGTCCCACTTTAAGATCTTAGATCAGCATTACTATAGTTAATATTTCTGAGTGACATTTACCAACCTGATAGGGAAATTGAAAATAAGGTAAAAACCTGTTAAGAGTGTTACAATAACTGCAAATCATGACTGAATATTTCTAAATGACATTTTTTGCCAGGTAACAGTTGAATTGAATGTAATGTTTTTATGAGGTTGTTGTTGTTTCAAGTTTAATAATATTGAAACTGATGCGATCTTCAAACTTGCATTTGTCAGTTGACTGAATTATCCTGAATGATATTTGCCAGGTAACTGTAAACAGTTCTACAGTTTCTAGACTCAATATAATGTATTTATGATCTTTTTGTTTGAGGTTGTTTAGTAATATTGAAACTGATGAGATCTTGAAGACTTCAAATTTGCATTTAAATTTTGTCAGTAAGTTTACTGAATATTTCTAAATGACACCTTTCAAAGTTTGCCAGGTAACAATTGAAGTGAATGTAATGTCTTTATGAGGCTGTTTCAAGTTTAGTAACAAATATTGAAACTGATGAGATCTTCAAACATGTATTTGCCAGTTGACTGAATTATTCTAAGTGATATTTGCCAGGTAACAGTACCACTGAATGTAATTGTTCTTGAAATTTCTAAATTTCCTCCCATAAATTTTGTCTGTATTGTCTTAGAGAATTAGAAAATAAAACAAAACTTCACCTGGAATTGTTTTATTCATAACATTAGAGTGAAATAACATTACATGGATTTGGCTAGTAACTTTTCTATTTGGCTAGTAAATGAAAATATTTAGTTGTCAAATTGGCTAAGCATGTATCAAAAGATACATGATTGGCAAATGTATCAAAAGATACATGATTGGCTAAGCATGTATCAAAAGATACATGATTGGCTAAGCATGTATCAAAAGATACATGATTGGCTAGCGTATCAAAAGATACATGATTATATCAACGTCAAAAAAGATACATGATTGGCTAAGCATGTATCAAATACATGATTAAAACTAAGCAAATCAAAAATACCCATTGGCTATCAAAAAGATACATGATTGGCTAAGCATGTATCAAAAGATACATGATTAGCTATGTATCAAAAGATACATGATTGGCTAAGCATGTATCAAAAGATACATGATTGGCTAAGCATGTATCAAAAGATACATGATTGGCTAAGCATGTATCAAAAGATACATGATTGGCTAAGCATGTATCAAAAGATACATGGCACATGATTGACTGACATTAGTCAAGGGAGGTAAGCATGTTACCATTTTCTGTTATCTTTTATTTATAAATAATATTCTTAAATAGTGGCTTGGATTGAGGAATTGAAAAGCCGAAATCAAATTCCAGTCAAGTCCATTACATTCACTTACATGCTAATACCCTTGGGAAAGGTATGAATTCTCTTCCCCCAGCTATGGGTGAATAGTAGGACAGACCAGGTTCTATAGCCTTGGATGGCAGCTGGTCTACTGCAGAAAGAAATGTCAACCTACTGCAGGAAAAAAATCTGCCTTGTTAGTCATGTATCAAGATATATGATCACCTTAGTATGTATCCCGGATGCCACATAACTGACTGACATCAGACAAGGGAGGTAAGCAATGTTGCTATGTTCTGTTATCTTTTATTTATAAATAATATTCCTAAATAGTAGCTTGGATTGAGGAATCCGAGATCTGAGTTCAAATTCCAGTCTCCATTACATTCACTTATGTGCTAATACACTTGGGAAAGGTATGAATTCTCTTCTTCTCCCCACCAGCTATGAGTAAATAACAGGACAGACCGGGTTCTATAGCCTTGGATGGCAAGTGGTCTACTGCAGAAAGAAATGGCAACTTATTATAGGAAAAAATCTACTTTGTCAGTCATGTATCAAAAGATACATGATCGCCTAAGCATGTATCCCGGATGCCACATAACTGACTGACATCAGTCAAGGGAGGTAAGCAATGTTGCCATTTTCTGTTAACTTTTATTTATAAATAATATTTCTAAATAGCGGCTTGGATTGAGGAATTGTATCATACATGGTACATAACTGACTGAAATATAAAAGATCTTTTCTAATTTTCTTACCAATTTATTTTATTTTTGAATTTCAGGATTATTGGACTCTCAGATTTTGGTTTTTAGGCAGAGCTGATGGTGTTACAAAGAAAAGGGCTTTCACAGATTATTTTCAAGAACTCATGAATCAGGAAGACTTTCCTAAAAGTATGTAGAATAGACATTCTTCAAGTTATATTTGCCCATATAAAAAGATAATGAAAAATTATTCTTAGTCTGTGTTTCATCTTCTCAGGGAGTTTATCAAGACAAATTTTGTTGCACTTTTTATATACAAGAACAAAGATGTCATTGGTCTATCAAGGTTTTTAAATTTGAGAGCTGTCATGAATTATACACCTTGATAAACCAATGATGTTCTTGCTCTTGTATATAAACATGTGGAACAAAAAAAAACCCTTACATTTGCCTTGATAAAGCCACTCAGAGGACAAAATGCATGTTTTTCATCTGGTCTTTTTATTCATTTTTTTTTTTACAGATAAACTCTATATGAATAAATATATATATATATATATATATATATATATATATATATATATATAAAATAAAATATATATTGTGTGTGCATGCAATGTAAATTTAATTTTTTATGTTTATTCTTGTCACTATGCAATGCACAATAAAATTGAACAACAGTTCCATTATACAAATATTTTCTGTATATATGATGTGGACAGATAATACCGAATCTATTTTTTTTTTTTTTTTTTTTGATAGATTCTATCTTATATATTTATAAGTATCATTTACTCGTTCATTGAATATTGCTGCCATATATGGTCTGGTGTTTCTGTGTATTTAGTCTTGACAAAATAGTCAGTAATATTATCAGGCCTGACCTGGCATCTCAGCTTCAGTCACATTTTCATTGCTGTAACATAACTTCCCTTTACCTTTTTTTTATAAATATTTTCATAGTTATTGTTCTAATGGCCTTTCCTCTCTGGTATCTTGACAAAGTTAAATCTGGTGACTAGGTCTCATCAATTTACAATTGAATGTAAATTCTATGCTAGGTTTCTTTTCTTGCACATCTCACTTGGAAAAAAAATATCCCTTCTGGATTTATACCTTCCAGTCAACATTGATCTTCAAAAATTTAAATTCAATGTCACTCACTATCTACTGTCCTCTTGATTACTCTTTCCTTTTCCCACTCATTATTAATGTTTCTGTTCCTAATTCTTCATCTGTAATCTGCAATAATTTAAATGCAATGTCAATCTCTATCTACTGTCCTCCTGATTACTCTTTCTTCTTCCCGCTCATTATTAATGTTTCTGTTCTTAATTCTTCCACACCCAGCAGTAACCCCTATTTGTTGCTGTACTGCCTTGCATAATATTGATTTAACAGCCCACACACACATTTGTAATCTTCACAAATATAGATGCCATGTCAATTGCTATCTACTGTCCTGATTACTTTTTTAACCATCATATGAAGAATTGCAGCACTGAGGTTTCCTCTTGGCTCAAAGCTGGCATGTATGTTTTAATTCCCTCTGGAAAATACTAGGTGAAAACTCATTCTTCCTGGTCCACAACATCATGTTTTATCACTATAGCCCACAGCCTACTTATTCCACACCCTGTAACCCCTTGTGTTTTAGTGGCTTTACTGCCTTTCTTGTGGAACTCCCTTTCGGTTCCATGCTTTCCAACCAACTTTAATCTGCAAAAATTTAAATACAATGTCAATCACTATATACTATCTTCCTGATTGCTCTTTTCTTTTTCTGTCCCTAATTCCTCCACACTCTGTTATCCTTTGCATGCTTGGGACTGTACTGTCTTACTTAGGGTGAGACTGATTTAAAAAAAAAAAAAAATTCTGTCAATATATTTATTTGGATATTTATAGTTTTATATTGCATTACTTGATTTGAACAAGCAATTTCAAATTTTATTTTGTTTTTGAATAAAAGCAACACAGCACAAGACTTCTGAAAATCACCTGATATTAATATTCATCTGAAGAATTTCCCCTCCATGCAAAAAAAAAAAAAAAAAATTTAAAAAAAGACATGAATTTGATAGAAATCGATTGAAAGGCTAGTTTTAATGTGGAATAAATTTAATTTATGTTGTTCTTTTCAGACTATATTGGTTTCGTGAAGAGGGCTCTTGTTCTGTTAAAGAAATATTCTCTTATTAAACGTGTAGAACTCCTGGTTGAAAAGACTGAGGAACCTGCATCCAATGATAATTTGCCACCAATTAGTAAGTATAATTGTGTTGCTATTAAAAATTTGTGTTAGGACACTATCCATCCATAAAATGCAAAGAAAGGAACTGTTACTTCACTTCTCACCTGTTATATTCTCTTGCTTCCCTGCTACTTACGTTCTTCAAAAACTTAAACATCGATCACCAGCTTCTGTTTTCCTTAATGATCTTTTATTGTACTCCTAATTAAAATCTTCTCATTCTCTTCCACTCCGAGTAACCTCTTGTCTTTTGTGGCTTTCTCACTTGAGATGAAATGATTTAAAAAAAAAAAAAAAAAAAAAAAGTTTTTCTTTACAGAATATTAAAAGAAAGTGAGCTGAAAGGCCACTTTTGTGACAAGTTATATTTACCATTATGGTAGTGTTCTGATGAAAATATTTCTCCAGAATTACTGATATTTACTTACTTTAAAATGTATCTTCATTTTATTTCACCTTCTAATTTCTTAGAGAACAATTTTTGCTTTGTTAACCAATCTTTTATTAGTGTGATTATTTAATCATTTTACCTCAAATTGAAGTATATAGAAATGATGGACACTTCACCCATATAAGAAAAAAAAATTGGACATAAAAATTCATAATACATAAACAAGATGCAAAACCTCATTCAATGAAATTGTAACTGGGGTCAAAACACTATGAAAGTGTAAAAATAGGTTTTAATACCAGAAATACTTTGTAAAAAATTGTTGCAAGCAATGCATTTTTTGAAAAGGAAATGTTGCGAGCAATGCATTTTTTGAAAAGGAAATGTTGCGAGCAATGCATTTTTTGAAAAGGAAATGTTGCGAGCAATGCATTTTTTGAAAAGGAAATGTTGCGAGCAATGCATTTTTTGAAAAGGAAATGTTGCGAGCAATGCATTTTTGAAAAGGAAATCCTTGCGAGCAATGCATTTTTGAAAAGGAAATGTTTCTTGAAAATGCATTTTTGAAAAGGAAATGTTGCGAGCAATGCATTTTTTGAAAAGGAAATGTTGCCAGCAATGCATTTTTTGAAAAGGAAATGTTGCCAGCAATGCATTTTTTGAAAAGGAAATGTTGCCAGCAATGCATTTTTTGAAAAGGAAATGTTGCCAGCAATGCATTTTTTGAGAAAATAAAAATATATATTACCAGCTATACATTTTTTAAAAAAAAGAAAAAATATTATCAGAAATAGAATTTTTGAAAAAAAAAAAATTATTAAAATAGAATTTTTTAAAAAAAAGAAAAAATATTATCAGAAATAGAATCTTTGAAGGAAAAATATTATCAGAAATAGAATCTTTGAAGGAAAAATATTATCAGAAATAGAATCTTTGAAGGAAAAATATTATCAGAAATAGAATCTTTGAAGGAAAAATATTATCAGAAATAGAATCTTTGAAGGAAAAATATTATCAGAAATAGATTTAAAAAAAAAAAAATATTACCAACAATAAAAATTTTGTCAGCATTAAATAACCTATTGAGGTTGATATGCCATAAAACAAAAACCAACCCAAATTTCACCTTCTAATTTCTTAGAGAACAATTTTTGCTTTGTTAACCTACCTTTTATTAGACAGTGTGATTATTTAATCATTTCACCTCAAATAAGATGTGAAAGACACAAAGACAAGGAATAGTTCTGCAAGACAGTGTTTATCTTCTTGGTAGAAAACCATTTATGGTGTCCCACAGGGCTACCTTTTGGTTCCAATTCTGTTCTTGATCTGTTAACAACATCCCTGGTCTGATCAAATCCATTGCTAAATTATTTGATGATGACACTAAGCTACATCATTAGATCAATGACAAAGATTAATTCAAGAATGATTTAAATTCACTTTCAGCTTGGAGTTAATTATGAACTCTAAAATTCAATGTGGGGAAAGTGTTGTGAAGTTCAGGGACAAGTTTAAATGTACTTACACAGTAGATGGAGTTTGCTTTAACCAAGTAAAAGAACAAAGAGATTTAGCTAATCTAGTTTCATATGATTTATCTCCAAGATCAACACATTTCTGGAATAATATTGAAGGCTAATCAAAGAATAGGTATGATTAATTGGTGCTTTATAAATCTTATAAAGAAAATAAAAACACCTTTACATTGCACTTATTTAACCATTAATTCAATATAGGGCTGTTGTCTGAAGCCGAAACTATAAGAAGGATATCAACTTATTGCCAAAGATATGTGCCTCAGCCTAGCTACAGGCAAAATCAAGCTACTATCCCTTTAGTCAAGACACCAGTTCACCGATCTGTTAGGTATACAAAATAATGAATGGCTATTATAAAATAGGAGGAATAATTTCTTTATCTTCTCAAACAGGAGAAGGCATGGTCACTCCACATGTTTGATAAAACAGAACTCTGAAATGGTTTGCAAGATACTCTTTTGCACTGAGTGATAGACAGGTATAACGCTTTATCTAATAATATGAACACACCAATGTTGGCTATTTTCAAGAACAAACTGCTCAGATGAGATGAATAACTATTGACTAATTCTAATATACTACTTTTAACAACATCATCTAATGATTTCTAGTAGAACTTCTTTGGCAGACAAGTATGGTAATCTGCCAAAGAAATAACGTTTTATCTAATGATGTGAAATGTTGGCTATTTTCAAGAACAAACTGTTCAGATGAGATGAAGAACTATTGACTAATTTTAATTTGTACTCGTAATATTTTGACCATTGTACTTTCCAGTTTTCTTCAGGTGTCTACCATCATATTTGGTTTGTTTCAGATTTTGAACTGAACACTTTACTCAATTTATATAGAGTAGATTATTCTCATTCTATTTTACTGAGTATATAACTTTTCAGTGCTACCTGATAGATATTACAGGTAATTTGATATGTTTTAACTAATGCTCTAATCCACAGGCTATGTGTGTTTTAGACAATCTAGTATTGAAATCAGAAGTAATTTCTGTTGATTTTATTGCTATGAAGTAATTTTAGTTAATATCAAATTTTATAAGTGTTATATTTATCTTTCATTGTTCTCTTTATTAAAATGTTGTATTTCTGTCTTTTCTTTTTCCTTTTACAGAGAGTTTTATCACTGTGATTACCCCAGATGCATACAAGTACCAGCTTGTCCCAGAAGTACCAGTTAGCAATAAGACCTTCTTGACCTTTCAAGTAAAGGCTGCTGCTAATGCTTATCTTGCTCTTTCTGCAGTCTATAGTGACTTGGAACGCAAGACACATGAGATTTTGATTGGAGAAAATAATCGTAGGTCTATGATTCGAGAAGGCTCCTTAGGCCCAGTCAGAGCTGAAGCCATGACAATTAACATTTTGAGTGACAGAGAGTTTCGCTACTTCTGGGTGAGCTGGTCAGGCCATCATGTAGAAGTTGGATGTGGCAACAAACAGGGTCAAAGTAGGTTCCTACACTGGCATGTTCCCCCCAACAAACAGTTCAATGTCAACTGCTTGGCTGTTTCAACTGACAGACTTTCAAAAGGCCAGTGGGAATTTGTTGAAATGCTTGGTAGGTATTTCTTTCCTTTTATTTAATATATATAAGCAAATATATGGATATAGATCCAACAGTATGAAGAAAAATATACGGAAAAAACAAACAAAAATCCTAATATACAATTATGCTGTTTTAATGTTAATATAATGTCAATGTCGGACGTTTCAGTTTAGTAGACCATCTTCAGGACATATTCATAAAACATAATTAACATTAGACTATATTTAATTCAACATGAAAAGACGATGGACATAAGAGTAAGACTAATCAAAACAGATAACTGAAATTTTTCAAGATCAGTGTTCTGTTTCAATATGATCACATTTTGTTTTTTCTGTATATTTTTCTTTATATATATATATATATATATACACACACACAGATAAGATTGGAACAAAAGTTCATCGAATTTATTAAACTCAATTTAACCTTTTAGCATGCTGGAGGCAAAAATTGCTTTAGGTGCATTCTGTTACCTTGAGACAGTTAATATAAATAAACACTTGTCAACTTTTATTTCCAGTATTTTAAGCTGAAAATCGACTACTACTGCTTTGGAACATGGTTAAACTTCTGTTTTCCAATGCCATTTTGAATTCTTCTAGACTCTACATGAGATATAACATCGACTAAACCCACGTTATTTTTTTGCCAATTTTTTGTAAACAAAAAATGTCTGCATCAATATCCAACATAGCCTTTATTCAGTAGTTTTTCTTTGATTCAAACTCCGATGATGATTTTGAAGGATTTACTCAAGTGGATATTAATGGTGAAGTGGTTGAAGATCTACACTAGTTATGTGGCGCAAAGCAATGATGACCACTAGTGACTATTATCATCCATGGTTGATTAATTTTATGGAAGCTACTGATGACCTGATAAATAATAAAGGTGAATTATTTTGTCTATTGATAAACAATGAAATAACTTTATTTGTCAATGAAATAAATAAATTTGATAGGTGAAAGAAAGTTCTCATAGTAAATCACTTTTTTGATGAAATAAAAGCCTTCTTAGTAATTTTGCTTCTTATTGCCCCCTAGAGCTCCACAAAGAGCAATAAGTTAAAGTATGTTAAATTGTTAATGTGTTTGTTTTTCATTTTTTTTTATTTTGTTTTCAGCATCAAAACATGCATGCAAAACAATGCATTACATCAAAATATTACTCATTCTTTCATTAGTATACAAAATATAAAATCTATACACACAATACAAAGAAAGCTATAACAATTTTAAAACAGATGTTCATATTTTTGCACGCTCAAAAAAATTGCAAGGGGAACAATTCTAGGAAGAAATTAGCATACTAAAGGTTAATGGACAATATCTAAATATTTGTAGATAGATTTATACAGCTATATAGGCACCATTTTCTTACACTACATTTCACCATCACTGAGAAATCATGATTACAGAATTCTAGAAAACTGAATTTCTTTACATTAAGAATTTTGTAGAACCAAAAGAAGTGGTAATCCAAAGTTATAAGCTCAGGTGAGCATAGTATAGGACATTGTAGCTAATATCTGCTGGGTCTACAAAGATGTGTGGCTTCTCATTGTTCTGATAGACATCCTTCCAATTGGTCAATTCCGGATGTTTTTCATCAATGCTTTCTCCATGAGATCGCTAAAAAGAGTATAGCATGATGAAAAAGACGACAAACTTGACAAAAACAAAATTTTATCATCTAAATGTTTGTTATTATTAAGAGGAAAGATCAAAGTATTTTTTACATTTTTTAATCATTTTTAATCGTTCCTATTTTTTTTTTTTTTTTTTCTTTTTTTTTTTTTTAGTCAGCAAAATTGACAGATTTCAACCATTTTTTCCATTTTATAAAAAAACTGGAAATCTCAACTTGAAATTCTTTTAAATACCAATTATCATTTTTTCAAAACTTATTTTAAGAAAATCAGAAATTGTTTATTTAAAATACTTTGAACCAAGCTAAGACTTATCTTCTGTGCCAAAAAGATGTAATTTGAAAATAAAACAAAGGTCATAAACTTTTGCGTCACTTGACAGGTGATGAATGATATATTGATAGATTCCGTGAGGGTAATTTATTGTACGGAAGGAGAAAAGTGAAATAATTTACATTCAAGTGAACAAATTATTTACCTCGTTATTTTTAAGGAAAACTTTCAGCGCTCTAATTTTTTTTTTTTTTTTTTTTTGTACTTAGCTTTCACCTTTACGTTTATGATGATTTATGGAAAATATATTCTAAAGAAATTAAAATAAGACTGTTAAGAGTGACATTAAATTTCATAAGAAAGGTATCTAATTAATTTATAGGTAACTTTCTTATGAAATTTTATCAGAAGTGTACATAAAATACTATAATTTTATGTACATTTATTACATTATGCTGTATTATTTGTATTTCCATTTGTTTTATTATTAATTTTGATTTTTCATTTATGGAAAAATGTCATAACTGAGATTAATATAAAAATAAGATCATATAAATTTCATAAGATGATACTGATACTTGTAGGTACCCTTCTCAGTTGAAATTGAAAAATCAAATTAACTTCTCCACACGTGTTTTGCAAAAGTAAAGGCCTTAACAGTGGAGAACAATGCTTAAATCAAATAACGCAACTTAATTTTATTCTGGTTTGTCTTCCGTACTTTATAATTACAGACTGATTATAAACACAAAATTACATTTCTTAATTACTGCGGATCTTCTGATTAGTCAAAATGATACAATTTACAATGCACTAAAAAAGATCTATCTCATAAGGAAACTTAGAAAAACCTGATGCGGCTTTTAACTAATTTTATAATATTTTAACAACTTAAATGTAAAAATCTGTTAATTAAGAAATAACAAATAATTGTATTAAAAATTCATTTTTTATCGAAATTTTTTTGCTTTCAGAAAATATTGTCCATATTCATAAAAACAACTAAAAGCAAATAATATCTTTGTTTTATCAAGTTTTTTATGTTACAATTCAGAGATGATTTTCTGGTGGTTCAAATTAAAAAACAAAACAAAAAAAATCATGATTTGCATTCTTCCAAGCCTTGTGCTTTTAACTATTGTAATCACTAAACCCAATGTGATCGAATTTCTAGTGTTTTCATAAAATTAGTTAGGCGGGGGGGGTAATAAATATAAAAAAAATTTCTGCCATGGCTTTAATAAAAAAAAACATAATAATTTTGATCATCTGAAAGTTTCATTAACATCTGACAATTATTTTTATTTTTGCAAGATTTTCCAATTTAATGTGTGTCATACCAAAAAAACATGCTAAAAATTGTCTGTTATTTTACTAGTTCCTGTGATACAAAGAGAAACAAGGATTTTTAATCAAAATTTAGAATGTTCTAAAAAGGAAAAATTTTTTAAAATAATTAAAATAAACTTTGGTCTTTTCTCTTAATAACATAAGCATTTAGACGATAAAATTTTGCTTTCGGCAAGGTTGACATCTTTTTCATCAAGCTATGCTCTTTTTTTAGTGATTTCGTGGAGGCACCTAACTTAGTCTCATCAAGGAAGAGTACTTGTTTGAATTCAGTGTCTGATTTTGTAGGAGGAGATTGTAATATATAATGCCTTTCTAATCCTTCTAGACACACAGCATCACTTTCTTTGAGTAAAAGCAGTTTTTGTTTTCTTCAGGACATTATTTCACTCTGTGTTGCTGTAAGCAATCATTTTCATTGCTTGTGATCATTCTTTTCAACTGCCCTGTTGGTTGTGGCTATAGAATATGCTGACTGCACCACTGCAGAGGAGTAACTCCACCTCCCAATGAGGCCCCATTTGCCATGGGTAGTGACTCGTAATGCATGAAGAGGGAATCCTGGTGGTTGTGGATTTTAGGCCTTGGGCAGTATATAAACTCCTAAACCATTTTGGCTCTTGGACTAGATGGACAGTTAGAGAGGTCAGATCCAATCAACTGGCAGGTGATATCCCTGTGTTGTGGGTGGGGAGTACTGTTAAGCTTCAATATAAATGAAGTGATCTGTCAAAAATCTACCATGAGGCATCACCCTAAGACAGACACACAGTGGCATGAAAAAGACATCTACCCATTTTCTAAGCTTCATAGTCCTGGAATCTATAGAATAAAAACTTATGACAAAGCTGTCCTCCTTTGTGATAGAAAATCTTTTCAACTAATTTGGTATCAAAATCAGTAAAAAAACCTGTTAATTGTAGAAGTAGCTAAAAGCTATTATGTAGAGTTGCTCCTGAGAACAACCACCTTCCAAAACTTGAAAATCAAGGCACACCTACATAGATTTTACAACATATCCAGAGGAACAGTGAAAAGTTCAGAACAGGGTGTTTACATACTTTTTGTTTTTTAAGTTATTCTTAATTTCCTCCAGAAAAATGAATTTTTAAAAAAAAAATAGTAAACGTCAATACATAACATACATAATCAACTGGTTCCAATGACAAAAACTTTAAAACATTTGGATACTATGAAATATGAGGAAGAAAGAAACCAATAAACAAACAGTGAGGAGAGAATAGGTCTAACTAAATGGGATCTACATATGATCAACAGAAATGTATGAGTTGTATTGGTAACCACTTGGTGGACTTGTCTTATGAAGCTTGGAAAAGAGAGAAAGAAGTAATGAAAATAAAATATACCCAGGGTACCTCTTTTTTCCAGAAGTACAAATGACTGCAGAGACCTTTTTCCTAATTTCATAATGCAACCAACACCAAACCCTACTGCCCAGGAATTAAAAAAACAAAAAAAACCAAAACAAACTAGATGAAATAGTCGTCTCTCTGTAAGATTTACAGGCTTCTATAAAGCAAACAAACAACAACCTCTCCCTATAGTAACACCAATTCAAATGAGTTCAATTTCTCAGTCACAAAGTCCACTGTACTCACATCCCTGCAAGGCTCTCCACCAGGTAGGAAATGTCAATTGCTTTTATAGCAGTATGTTGGGTACTTCATGGTTGGCTATTTGTGGATAATAGAAGTGGATTAGCCTATTTTCTATCTAT